GTGTAGAGACATCTAAGACCATATGTCCCCCTTATTTGCTGCCTGTGTGAGATTTTTTTTCCCTCCCACTGTTGGACCCTTGCCTTGTTCCCTCTATAACACTTTGACTATTATTTCCAGCCCATGATTTAATGCAAGATGGTGGTGTCCAGTGGGGATATAAGATGAATAAAGACTAACACAGGAACCATGAGAGCGTCTAAACTGTCCCCACATTTGGGGCATCTAAACTGTCCCACAGTAATAGGAGAGGAGGACAGGAGGAGGTTTTCATACTGGTGACAGAAGAGGAGATTAGTAGAAGACCTACATTTGGTAGCAGTCGGGGGGGTTAGTGGAGAACTAATCGTAAACAAACAATAATAAATTTTAAAAAATCACAATATGCAAAAGGTAAAAGTAATTAGACTTTCAGACAATTAACAACAATTAAAAAGCAAAAGCCATTAAAAACAACAAACAGAACAAAAATCCAGGAAGTTATACAAGGGCTGTTTTTCTTTAAAAACCCGATTCTTAAAGGCCTGATGGAACAAGAAGATCTTCATCTATTTGGAGAAAGAGTTGTAATCTAATCTTTCTGGGAAAGGGCTTTCAGAGACAGGGAGCAGCCACTGAGAGTCCTTGTTTCCTGCGTTCCAACCTTCCGTACATGTGAGGATGGAGACGAAACTGAGGAAAATAATGATTCAACTGCTCACCCATATTCACAGGGAAGGGTTTATGGGAGGGAAACAATTCTGATCAGGTTGTATTTGACTTTCTTCTAGGTGGTGGTGCTTCCAGCAACCTTCCGCTGTGCCCCACAAGCTGCGTTCCTGGTTCCGTTGACCCAGAAGCCGATGCGGAAAGTTCTCCCCTCCACAGACTGATGAACTGCCTGAAGGAGATCCCCATCCAAAGGCCGAGCTACCTCAACACGCCAAACATTTTTGCTTTCACCTCCAACTGGAGTGAAATTGAGAAGGTCCAGCAGAGCCTCCGGACCAGGACATGGTTGGACCGTGGCCAAGGCAGGTCTCAGCATTCAAAATGT